CCAAAGATTACATCATATGAGAAAAAAGACGTCCATAAACAAAAGGGTGTAGTTTGCCTAAGGTTGCAATATTAAACAATCAAAATAAGGCACACCTCCAAATTTTATCGTAACATGCAATTTTGGTGTCAAAAATTCTAGGATGGTCTGAGAATCTATTTGCATCTCTTATTATAAAATTTTAAACTTCAAAAATAGTTCAAATCAATAGATCTATAAATATATGAAAATCTTGAAAAATTGACAGCCGGATAATGTGTTATAAGATGCACTATTTTTCAAACTTAAAATATTTTCTTTTTTATATCCATACATCTTGACAGCAAGATGTTTCAACTTAGAGGGTTTTGCAATACAAAAATAATACTACAGTTTAAAATTGCAACCCTATATGAACTTTTTCCTAGACAAGAACAAACCAAAGGTGAACTACGTCACTTAGTCTATGCACTCAAATACCACCAAATTTCTGTTATTCTCATTTTGGCAGGTCTCAAGTAAGTAGAGAGAGAGAGAGAGCCTTTTAGCAGGTCTCAAAGCTCCTCCAGAAGTAAGAGGAGAGAGAGACTGTACTGATATGAACAGTATACATGCATGGGATATGTAATGGTGTGATCTATATGGAAATGGCAAGTACAGGTGTAGTATGTGTGTGAGGTTGTGAGCCAAATCTCATGTTTATATGAGTAGATCCTTTACTTATACATATACATACACACTGCACTTGGGATATACATTTCCATAACAAATACTTGGAAATATCCGCTCTCATATCCCATCTCCAACACCTACATTTATTGATTCCCCCTCATACAAATACTCCATCAAAACCCCCAGCATTTCTAACAATCTTCTTCAAATCTAAAACTACAGATACAACCATAGTCCTCATCCTTGTTTAATCATCATCGTCGTTGTAGCCATGGCTACTGGCCCCGGAAGAATCCTCACCATCTCTCCTCTCCTTCTCATTATTATTTTCTCTCTCGTGATCCATACTTGCAACGCCCGTCTTCGCCTCGCTGCGTCTCACGCCGAAAGGGTTAGCCACCACTCCAGCAAGGTTTCTCTCTCTCTCTCTCTCTCTCTCTCTCTCTCTGGTGATGGTGTAATTTGAAGCCGTTCATCTATAGTGAGTTGTTAATTGTTATTTAATCATTGCCATCCATGATATTGTTGCAGGGGGTGAAGCGTGGAAGTGTGAGGCTACACAGTAAAACATTGGTAGAGTTTTTGAAGAATGGGGAGGTAGGATCGAAAGCGAAGACAGGGAAATCGTTAGGCGTGGTGCCGAAAGGATCCTTCGTCGTGGTTTCGCGGCGATCATTACATGGAAAACATGAACCAGGTTTTCACTTAGATTACTCCCCTCCCCTCACTCATCCCCCAGTTCATAACTGAACCCCAACCAACATCCCCATCTGCCCCTCTCTCTAACCAAAGAAAGAACCAAATGACTAATCCAGACTTCCACACGCCCTCTTTTTTCTCCTTTTTTTGTTCCCCTCTTTTGGGATTTTTCCAGTAACCTCTGACATCCTTCTTACTAGTCTGTGGAGGCTGAAGAATTAACGTGTTAAGATTATGGCAGTTTCCATTGTAATCTGTAATAATACAGTGGATATGAAAACAAAGATGGATTCCTCAGGCAATTTCATGGGATTCATAGCAACTTCTGATCAACAAAATTTTGTGCTTTATGTCACACATTTGTATTCTACTAATATACTTATATTTTATACCTCTATATTTGTTCTATCAAAATAATGTGAGTGGCATTCTGATTATTCTGGTTTTGATTATTACTATTGTCATTATAAACATCATTGCAGTATTGATTGCTAAAGTACTGGTAATGCAGGACTTGTTGGGTATTATATACGATTTGGGTTGCATTTCTATTTTAAGATTTTTTCACACTAATATTAGAAGAGTTATTTCAATATTTTGGAACTCACTTCAGGCTAGGTACTCGGCCCAGGCTCAAATCGAGATACTCGGGCGAGTCCGGCTAGACTTGCCTTGGGCAAGTACCTGGCCGAAGGCGAGTTACTCGGGACTCACCTCATACTCGCCCGAGTCCTATACAAGGCCAAAATCCCTCAAACAAAAAAGAAATATATATATATATATATATATAGTAAAAGTAAAATAAAATGAAAACTAACCTTAAAAAGTCAAGCTTAAAGAAATAGAAAACAGGTTGTAAAAAAATTGATCTGGGAACATTCTAAAAAAATCCAAAAATTTTGAAAATTTGAGTCAAACAACACAAACATTCCCCTATTTGTTTACAATCTTTTGGGATTTTTTTAAAAAAAATTTCATATACCCCATATTGTATATACAATACGGGGCAACTGCGCCTCGCCCATAGGAACTCCTCTCCTAGGAGAAGACAACGTGGAGTAGATATGTAGGCTTCATAATCCAGAGAGAGAGATAGAGAGAGGCTCTTATGTACTCCATTGTAGTATTGATATATATTTCTGTGTGGTTCAGTGATCAGGGGATACATATCTATGGGTGTAGGGGCTCTGGGGTACAAGGGGAGTGGTGGTGTCTGTGTGTTATAAATGAAAGGGAAGTCGGTTAAACAGTTGGGCTTGTGCACTTTCGGTTGGTATTGATTCTCATGTGCCATGTGAGAGCATGTGATCCATTCTCTCACTTGCCATGAGAGAGATTACGGTTATGGTATGAAATATACAGCACACAAACATCACCTCAGCTGTTCCCTGTGTATAGTAATGAAATATGCAGCACGCAAACAGTGTGCTGCATATCACCTCAGCTGTTCGCTGGTAGGGTATTCAAGATAGACATTTCCGTTGCTCAAGTTGAGACAAACTTGAGTTTTGGAAGGGATGATACCAACCGTTCGTCATTGATAACGAAGGGATACTTTGGATTTTTAAATTTTTATAAGGAAAAAGTTATATAAGGTGTCAACATTATACTACACACATAATGGCACTTCAAAATTATAATAGAAAAATTGATCCGTCTGATGCTCAAAAACCTCCAATTGATTATTTTTAACTTTGAGATGTATAGATATGGAAAAAAAGAAAAAACGACTTCAAGTCATAAAAATAGTGCATCGTGTATAAGTCATGATTTAGATGGCTTATATCAATATTCAAGTGTTTATAAATTCGCTTGATCTGCACCATTTTGGAGTTTAAATCTTATAATTTTGGTGGAAATAGACTTCCAGGTTACTGTACGCACTTCGGGCACCAAAAATACATCTTTTGAAACAATTTAGTAACGTGCTTCCTCATACAAACCGCACCCTTTACAAAATCATAATCTTATCATCAAAGAAATAGGATAGAGCAAAAAGTATTGCTATTTACATATAGGATGGGGTTTTGTAAGGATTTTAGATCTAAATTTAATAGGTTTATGTCTAAAAAAAAAGTGTATATAAGGATGCAACCTTATAATGTAGAACTACGGATGCACCTCAAAAATCCATCGAAAAGGTAGTTTTAATGTTGAAAAACCCTTTGATTGATCATCTCGACATCAAGAAGTATGACCATGAAAAATAAAAAGATTTTAAGTCTCAAAAATAGTACATTTTACAACATATTATCTACATCGTCCATTTTCAAGATTTTCATATGTTTATAGATCTACTTGATTTTAACCATTTTTTAAATTTAAAATTTGATAATTAGTTATAAAAATAGATTTTGAGATAATCTTAAAAATATTTTATATCAAAATTATATATCATGATAAAATTTGAAAGTGCACCTTACTTCTACACCTACGGATGCATCCGCATGCCAACTGCACCCTAAAACTAAATCTCTCCAGAATTTAAGCAGCGGCTGCTAAGAATAAAGTTGAGGCTGAAAATAAAATTTAGAGGGAAAATAGTAACTATCACGCATCGTATTTAGGGCAACATCGGAATATGCATTTGACTTTTGCAAACATTGTGTTATATTTACATTTATCTCACCTTTTCATAACAATTATATTCTCTCTTGGATATTAACCCTATACTTTCATTATACTTCGAAGTTTACTCTCTCTCTATTTTTTGAATGGTAAAGATCTCTCTCTCTCTCAACTACAATTGTTCTATGTGTCTACGGGTGGCAACTGGTCGGGTCCGGTTAGGTCGAGTCTGGGCTGACCCAGACCTGGACCAAGACCTGAAAAAATGATATGAGACACGGATCCGATTGGACCTAGCCCAAAAGATAAAATATTTGTCTTTAGCTATATTTAAATATATTTTATATATGGGTGCAGTTTGTATAGAACCAAGGCTCTAAACTAAAAAAGTAGAACACACCTTCAAATAGAATCGAGAAATGTGGTTTCAATATTGAAAATCTTTGTGATAGCCTTAAATATAGTTTCATCTCTTATTATAAATTTAACGCTTCAAAAATAGTGTAGATCGAGCAAATCAATGAAAACTTGAAAATATTGAAAATTGACAGTTCAAAAATACTTTTATAAGATGCGTTATTTCCAAAACTTGAAATCAATTTCTTTCTATGTCCATGCATCTGGATGTTGAGATGATCAATTTGAGGATATCTAGACATCAAAACAACTTCTAGTGAAATTTTTGAAGTGCACTCCAATGTGATTGTTTAGAGCCTCGGCTCTATGTAAAATTTTTCCTTTATATATTGGGAGCTACAAGATATTACCAGATCCAGACTCAAATAGTGCTCTAAACCTCTAGACCCAGACCCAACCCGCCAGATCCAATTTTTAAACCCATACCCAAACCCAAATTGAGTGTACCCCTAGATTGGCTCTGGGTCCATTGCCACCCCTATCTGTCTCTATCATTATACCTCAAATTATACTCCCTCTATCTCTCTCTCTCTAAACTACAATTGTCGTGTGTCTATCTAGGGATGTGGACTGTGTCGAGAATACCTGCGACCCAACATTAAACCAGCGACAATGGCAGCGATCATTCCCAGAATGTTCCCCCACCATTCCTTTCTTCCATTTAGAAAACCCCGACATCTTATTTAACTCCCGAGGTACCACAAACATATCAACACTAAATATATAGATAAACAAAGCCTCTGCCTCGTAACAGAAAGACCAAATCAAGTCCCGAGCCAAGGCAGCGACCGTCCGATGCAAATTCTAAGGAGATCCAATGGCTCAAACTCGTCCAATAGTCAACAAAAAAGACCAAATTAAATAAGAGACAAAAAATTAGCTACAATTGACTAAGAAAGGTTTAATAAAATTGATGAATTGGGATGTGTTGATGCCCAGCTTTAAATCCACTTCGCCGCCTCCCAACCAGAAGAAATCCCGTTGAAGCCTTGTTATTGCTTGGTCCAGGATCACCTGCATTTAAAATTTTAAGTCAATATGTATTTATGTTGATATTTTATTCCTCTATTTTTACGGTGGTCTATGGCATATGAGATTTTCCAGGCCTAAATATGCCTATTAATATATATTACAATGGATATCTTGATGTTGTAAAGGCAGAAATTAAAAAAAATAAAATAACATTAAAAGGTGGGGGGCATTAATGCAAGACCAACAAGTAATATGAAAGAAATGTGGGGTAAGCATAAGCTGTCAACAACTAATTTCCTATATTTTCTATAATTGAGCAAGAATTAATGGAATTTGTCAAAGATTTGAAAAAACTCAGCAGCATATAATGAAGAAGAGTTGGTCAAGGGTTGGTAGCACCTAGGTTTCTTGCAATTTTCTAGCTCCTTCCCAACTATGAGAAATCCTATCGAAATTATTCGGGACCCCAAAGCCCAAATTTGCATTTATACAAAGTTCTCATATTTCGATTAGCATGCTACACAGTACGTATAAATAAAGTATACAAAAGATCCCATACAATACCTGCTAAGAGGTGTGAGTTAGTTGAAGTAGAAAGCTCAAAAGGGCAAGAGGAAGGCCCAAAAGGACATAGTTGGAAATAATGAAAAAATATATAAGAAAATACATGGGGACTTGTGGCCTCACTGAAAGTATAGCCCTTAATAGAGCAAAATGGCAGGCCACGATTTGTGTAGCGACCCCAATTAGTTAGAAAAAGGTTTTGACAATGATGATGGCAAAGGACACTTGACCATTCATTCTCAAAAGTCAGCTGCATGATGAGGATGAGCCCTTCTCAAAATGAACTCATTTAAACTGTCCATCCATGAGGAAGGATGGTGGGTGACCCTTTGAGTAGCATTAGGACATAAACAGAGAGGATGTAGATGGGCGGCTTTTGTGTACCTTGTACTATACACACTAGTGTGAAATCATATACTTATCGTTAACTTTCAATATATACAACTTTGTTTATATCTAAACTTGTGTTCTTTATAACTCTAATGTTTGTAAATTGCACAAACTAAGTGTAACTTATACAATTTTACACTAGCATATCAATACGACTCTGTCCCAATTGTCCAAGCAACTATGATTTCTAAGTGATGACAAGTCACAAGTTCACAAGGAAAACCCAAAATCAAGGAGCACTATCCCATATCTCAACATTCCACAGAAGACCAAAATGCATTGATTAAACATAAATGGGACATCTATCTGCAATTCTTGAACCCCTGAAACTATTAGAATTGACTGGCGGACCCCATAAATCTTGATTAAATTCATGTGCCACTTTTCAAACTAAAAAAAAGTGGCACATTTTTTAAAATTAAAGTGCTACTTTTCAAGATAAATCTTGATTAAATTATAGTCCAGTTAACCGTGAGCATTTCTTTTTCCATTCTTTTCTTTTTTTGGGGGGGGGAGGGGGGAAAAATCCTTGGTCTACATTTTGGCAGTAGATGTTTCTCAGCAAACCATTTTGGGCCACGTTACCTGGGGTAAGTTAATGCTCACTAATAATGCACATGAAAGTGCTTTGAAATCATCAAATAATTTAATGCAAATTAAAATAAGAGCAATATATTTCATGGGAAAGAAACAGGAAACGGGATGTCCACTTGCCGGAATGTCAGTCTTCATGCCGATAGGTGTGACTGCATTATGCTCATATCCAGTCAACTTTGATGATTCCTCCTCTGGTGCAAGTCTTACTACACCCACATGGCAACAAGAAGTTTGTCAATCCCAAACATAATGATGCAAAGCATAGTGGCAAAAAGTAGCCCAATTAAGTGCACAAAACCAGCACAATGATTAAAAAAACACACACTCTCTCTCTCTCTCTCTCTCTCTCGTAGGTATGCATAC